AATCTTCTCTGAATAGTCAGTTAGGAAATGCTGGACTACGATTCGCTTAATAAAATTGAAGTGCTGCCTTGTATCATATTTGCAGAAATAAATTCACTTGTTTCACTTGTCACATGGGTATGGACAGTCCACATTGCCACAATAGGGTAGATGCCTAATTTTTATTCTAATGTCCGTCTGGTAGATTATTTTAAATCATTAGACACGTATTTTTTATTCTCTTAGAGAAAAGAATACTTTCGACGATTTATTGATTTGAAATGTAGCGTGACGTTACTTCTATGTACATTTTACACGTAGAAATGACATTTTAGCCCCCACTTCTAAACTTTGATACGTTTTATCTAAGTATTGTTTTATTATACGAAAAAAAATACGTGTCTAACATTTTTTCATTACCTAACTTACGGACTAATAAGATTTTTAATTTTCATACTCTGTCATCATCCCAATTGAATCAGTCATCAAACCACAGTGCTAATGGTACCACACTATATTTTATTTCCCTTTATTGCTAAAAGAAATATTAATTATAGTGCCTTACCCTCCTATTGAGGACAGTGAACTGTGTCTTCTTGCAGTGCATGCAGATGGAAGCCTCATTATCTGGCACCCATACCGCCGCATGCTCTGACGGAGGTTGCTTGCCACCTGTAATGGTATTACAGAAATAAATAACAAATAAAAAGGAGATAAATATTGATGTACTATCTATATTGAGGCTAAGATACATGTAAAATATTTGTAAACTAATTACAAATATCTGATTACGCATTTAATACTTTTCTGTGCTTTCGGCTATTAGTAAATAGAGTGAGAAAGAATGCGGGAGTGTAAGTATCCTGTCTATATTCTCATTATCATAATATATCCGCTTTTTTTTTAATTATAAGATTTGTACAATGGTTTTGATGTATCTTTTTATGTGTTATTTATAATTTAGTAAACTTTAATTTAATTAAATTACGATAACACTACCATAACATGGACATTATTGCCGTTATACTTTATACTAAATTGTGGATAATGGTGTGGGTTACATATTTATTGTAGCTGTTGTTTTGTGTAAGACATTTTATGTAAAATTTTAATATGTAACTGTTTTTTGTCCCATATATAAATATTGAGGCTAAGATAAATGTAAAATGTTGATAAACTAATGTAACAAATGTAAGGCTATATCTGGCTACACATTTAATATTTTTCTGTGCTTCTATCTTTCGACTATCAGTAAATAGAGTGAGAAAGAAGGCGGGAGTGTGAAGACACGCGGTCGACTTGATTTCGACGAAATTTCCGAGAAGGTATTGAATCGGAGATAGATAAACAAAGTGATTCTATGCACAAACATTGAATAAATCTTATATATAAAAACGAAGTTCTGTTCGTTAGGTTCGCTAAAACTGGAGAAGGGCTGAACCCATTTGGTTAATTTTGGTCTTGATATGTTCTTTAAAGTCCAGGGAAGGTTTAAAATTTAAGAAAAATAATTTTTAGGCAGTAAGTACGAAGTCTGCCGAATCAGCTATTTGTTTGTTTTTTCTTTAAAAAAACGTTGCCTCACATTAGGATTTTCTCCTGTGTCGTGGGTGCATTTACAAACATATACAATGACACCTAGACCCGAAACAACAATTTGTGGATCACACAAAGTGTTGTTCCGTGCGGGAATCGAACCCGCGACACGTTGCACGGCAGCCAGTTGCCCAGCCACCGCACCAACCGTGCAGTCATGAATATGAAACTTACTTTTCCTTAGCAAATCTTCTATACATTTTTCTATATGGGCCATCCATTCTTCTTTCTCGGTGGCTGTAGCGGCGTACACAGCGAATGATTTGGACGCGGTGCGAATTAACCAGCCGTTGCGGAGTTCTGTAACAACAATATTTTTTTAATTACGTTACAAATACATAAACGTATAAAATTAACTAAAATCGCTAACGCTAAAGTAGCGTTTAGCGTTAGCGATTTAAGTACGCTAAACGCTACTTTAGCGTTTGTCTACAGAGAGAGTAGAAAGCTAAATGTAAGAGGATTACACTGACAAGTGACAAAATTTACGTCAATTGTATATAATTTTGTTTTCTATTCATATATAGTAGACAAGCGCTAAATGGCATTTGGCTACAGCTACAGGCACAGTTGGAAGCAACAAACAACTGGTTACAATCTAAATCTGATTGATCCAAATTTAATATCAACCATGTATACAATTAGGAAATGGAGTTAAAGTTGCTTGTGTTTAAAATACACATACCTATTTTGAATTTGCCTTAGGGGTCGTACACAAAACTGCGATGCGAATTCGCAACGCAAAAAATTACTATGCGAATTGCTGCGATTTGGATTTCGTGCGACAAGGCGTCTCTCAGGGTAACCATTCCTTCGATGACCGTCAACCGTACTAAACGTATTTTAAATTGAAAACTAGGTCGTGACATGAATGGTAAAAAGAAGTGTGCACTTCTGTTATTGCTTAGGAGATACAGGAAAAAGAAACAAAGAAGATTTTGAGAAGATAAGATTTTAATACGCGATGCGAATCAATTCGCAAGTTCTTGCGATGCGTAGAGGGAGGGAGCTCGCACATTTTTGGGATGCGTCGACGCATCGCAGTTTTGTGTACGAGCCCTTAATGGGAAATATATATTTTTATAACAAAATCCGTTTACCTGCTAGTAACCGGAAAACATTTAAAATAAATTAATGTGTTATGTTAATTAGATATGTTCTTTCCACTTATTTCGCTTTGTATCTATACGATTTTTTTTTTCGGAATATTAAACACACAGATTAATTATTGTTTACGTCGCGGCTATGTTAACGCCAATCCTTTATCTTTTATATTTAATAATATATAATGAGACCTGCATTCATCGAAATATATTATTATCTTATGTAATAAAAGTAAACAATGTCCTTCACAGTTGCACACATAGACTCAAAACTTAAACAGCAATGTCATAATGATTATTTAATGATTTTTTTATTTATTTATTTATTTAATACAATTACTTTGCCATTACAGATAACTTAACCTAATTCGACATAGTAACTTATCAATCCTTTTGTGTATAAAAGATGTCAGCATAATTTTCAGTTATTTATGTGGGCAGTAGTCTTTATACTTCGCGGAGAACCTAACGGGGTGGTTTTTAGTCAGTAAGAGTCTGACACTCCCTCCCGCCTCACCCAGGCGGGAGCAGTAATTCGATGATTTGCCCCGATTAAAAAAAAGTATGTCCTTATATTCATATATCTATATAGATAAATAAAATTGGAGTGTCTGTTTATAATATTAAAATAACCGCTTTTTACTACATACGATACATATACTCAATAAACACTTTTATAATTTTTGTTTGTCTGTCTGCCTATTTGTATTGGCTAATCTCTGAAATAGTTTGACCGATTTTGACGTGACTTTAATTGATAGGTAGCTAATGTACTAAGGAGTAACATAGGCTACTATCAATTTAGAAATTAGTTTTTCTTGTATAGAAGCACAATTTTTATGGATTGTCAGTATGCATATGTGAGCACCATGTTTAAGATTTTTATTTGTTTTGTTTTTATTTTATTTTAGTAAGTTATGTAATTAGTATAATGCGTCAAGCGTGTCTTTGCATTGTTCTCAATGTTGTATTGGAATATGTATCAGAGACAATGTAGAACATACTTAAGGAATGGAGTTTCTTGCTCGTTCTTCTCCATTCGAATCTACATTTTGGAATGAGCACCTAGCTTCACTGACGGACTATTATTTACTTTTTATTTGTTGAAGTTTCAAAAGTGCCAAATTATGGTTTCATTGACATATTAAATGCTTTGACTTTAAGAAAAACGCAGACGAAGTTGCGCGTTCAGCTAGTTATTATATAAAGCTGAAGAGTTTGTTTGTTTCAACGCGCTAATATCCGAAACTACTGGTTCAAATTGAATGTTTATTTTTGTGATGGATAGTGCATTTATCGAGGAAGGCTATATAGGCTATGAAACATTACGCTACGATCAATAAAAGCCGAGCAGAACGGTTGAATTTGCGCGGATGTAGCTAGTTTTAATATATTATGCAGCATTGAGTCATACAAGCTTTCCAAGATCAATGTCAACATATATCTAGTAGCAATACATACTATGTTAATGATGATTCATTGGCCATTCACACCAATGACTCAGCTGACCAATAAAATAATCTAAACCACTTTTGTTTTTAATAAATTATTTAGAATTTGTCACATTGGTATACAGTTGCGAATCAAGTAAATAGTTGGTATTTAAAGTAACTCCTGAATATTAACTCGTTGAGTACCGTCTTTATAGACACAATTAAAGAACAATAGGTTGCGGTCATCGGCAGCCGCTCGGGAAAAGGCAGTCAAAAACTAAAAACTGATTACAAAAACCTCATTTTAAAAAGTGTGATAAAAGAAGGCATATACATTTAACTTGTATGTATTCCCGATTATGAAAAATCCACAACATTTTTGTTTAGGTATATAAAAATAGTTTCTAAAGATCGGAAATAAGGTCTATAATAGAGTAAGTGGAGAGCGGTTGCCGGTGACCACTTGGCGAATAAATAGTCTGAATTTAATATGCAATCTTATTAATGTTCAAATTACTTTCTTTTTTAAGAACATTAGAAAGAAGTGTAATCTGTGGTTGTGGTAAAAAGACATGTATCTAGATTTAGTTGAGATTTATGATAAACACACAGCTGCCTTTTTTATTTAAATTATAGAACTGACCTTTGTGATATAATTAATGTTATGATAAAAGTCCAAGTTACTTATTTTTAGAGGGCAAGGAACCAAAACAATATAATTTTTTAACAAGTACGTTTGACATAGACTTATTTATCTTATGTTCTTTTTATTAATCTGTTAATTATTTCCCAAAACAAGTTTAAGGTTTAAAAAAGAGTATAAAAAATGTATAATTGCCTTCATCATAAATAAATAATTTCGACTGCTCAATACAATAAGATATTAAAAGATAAGATATTTTTGATTTTAGGACCAATTTAATTTTAGTATTTTACCAGCAATTTTTTTGAGTATGCTGTTTGATTCTAAAAAAACGTGACGTCACAATACACAATCTCGTAAAAAAAATCAAACTGTCGTTTTTGACATTTCGAAAAAAGTATTGAATTTGACTAGTTCGCAACTACCCAATTTAAAAATAGAAATTGTATCAAAATAATATTTTTCCTTAAACTTTTTTATGACTAAAGCATAAAGCATTGAGAAACACATAAACTCTTAATCAAAAAAAAAAAAAGAAAAGAAAGGAAATGTTCATAAATGTCATTTTTCTTTAAGAATAGCTAACCAACAAATGTAAACATAATATATTTATAGAGTATAAATGATAGTGAGATATTTATAGGACATCTAAACAAACAAATACCTGTTTCAATAATACAATAGAATAAACTACAGACAGTTGTCTCCATATAATCTAAGATAGGTGGATAATGATCATGGCATCAACCCCTTATCTGCTACAATGGTAACCTAAGCATATGTGCAAAACAATGCATTTGTATTGTCTCAAAATGTGGCAACACAATATTAAATGTGCCAATATATATATTCCAATAACTCAGTTAATATTCAACCTTACTGCCCAGTCTCCAAATGGTCACCGGTGATCACTCTCCACTTACTTCATTATACACCTTATTTCCGATGTTTAGAGACTACTTTTGGATTAACAAATGTTGGGGATCTTTCATAATCGGGGATAAAGAAGTAAAGCTAAAACCTCTAGATTAATCTAGGTTTATAACAGAAACTCCATACGAAAACATAACATCACGCATTTTATCCCCGAGAAGGGTTAGGCAAAGGTGCACATTACATCGCTTAATGCCACTGTACCATGTAACACCCACTATTCACTATTTATGTTATGAGTCCCATGTAATAGGGGGTGAGCCTATTGCCATATAGCAGGCAAAATTCCAAACTCCGTGCTAACACTGAAAATCTTTTAAAAACCCAGTAATACTTTGCCCAACCTGGGAATCGAACCCAAGACCCCTTGCCTGGCAGTCGCACCTCCATATGACTTCATACTACAAATGTGAAAAACAATCTTAATTCCGAATGTTTTGTATCGAAATTGCTGAAGTGAAAAGAAACTTACGTCCATCATCCTTCAGTGACTCCAGCTTCACCTCCTCAAGAGGTATAACATGCTGTTTGTTATATTTCTTCTTGTTGATAACAATATTCCCATAAACAAGTATGTCGTTGAACAAAAAGAACTGTCTGGCTTTCGGTTTTTTGCGGCACATTTTTGTCAGGACACCCTCTCCCACAAGGACCCTGCCTTGTTCTGCCAGAGGCTAAAAAAAAAATTCATGTTTTTTTTAATTGCACAGGATATGTTTGTGCTGCCTATCTGTTAGATACCAAAAAGTTTTATTATGATGCCAATATTGTCTGCCTGTTTGCACAGTTGAAAGATAAAAAGCTTAAATGTTTTATTTGGACAAGGATCATTTCAAAAAATATAAATGATATAACATCACATAAGCTACTTATTAGGCAACTTGTAAGATTTCTTTATTATGTAAAATTTGACATTTACAATTGGAAACCTTTCAATATTGCTAATGAATTAATCTGCTATGTTTTTGTATCTTTAGTGAATGTATGCAAATTTGGACAGATTTTCCATTTCAATGCATCAGGCGTCCGGTGATAAAACCTGTCTATCATAGATAACAATGTCATGGCTTCTTATAAGACATTGCATAAATTTGATGAGGAAACTCAACACATACACATTTCACAAAGATTAAACCTCCTACACCTTAGATTTTGATATGATTCATTACATCAGTCTTAATCATGGAATAGTAACATGCAATCTAACTGATAATGGGCAGGCTAATCAATCCCTAATCTACGTAATTTAATTATATTCTATAGCGCCTTCATTGTATGTTAAAAATAACATTCAGATACAAGAAAGCATGAAACATTGCATATAAAAGTATAATGATGAAAAATAATGCTGATAAACACTTCATATCTTCTGTCAGAACAATCCCACACGAACGATGTACTGAAGATTTTATCTTGCCGAGTTTGTCGGTGATAATATGACGGCACTCGACAACTTCAAAACTTAGTAAAAACTTATATTTGGAAACTTCAGACGCTCACCTGTCCAGAACTGCCGAAGCAGCTCTCAACCATAGCAATCCTTCGAGCATTGGCCTCACTGTTCACTGAAAAAAAGAAAATTACCTACTTAAAAATTGTAGTACGGTATAAAAGTTTGACGTCAAAGGAAAGTGAGCGACAAGCAAACAATGACAGTGATATCCCACGTATAACTATTTTAGATGATCGCACACAAATTACACCACCGTATTCTAAGTTGTTTAACGTTATTGCACGATATTAAATTATTATTTTCCTACCTAAACGGTCCACCATTATTGAAATTTATTTTCTCGTAGATACGACCGAGAAAAATGTGTCATTCATAGAATATATTGCCAGCTACAAAGAGCATAATTCTACTAGTCCGTCAAACTTAACTTTTTACCAACAACTTAAAAATTGTGAAAGTTTATTACGATATATATGCAATTACATTAGGTAAAATGTTGTATTACACGATTTTGACTATCTGAATTTACTGGATTAGATATTTTAATAAATTAGACAAATGTCGATCTCTTCCAGAACTACTAAATTAGTAGTTCTCTTATAAAATAGCAATAATCTATAACGTTTCATTTTACGCTAATTAAATTTTTATTTCTATGATCTATTATAAACTCGTAATTTATTGCAGCATCGAATTTGTAAAACGCCTTCTAATTATATAAATTGATAAAAGAAATAAAAAAGCAAAAAATAATTTTAGTTTCTAAAAGAAAATGCAATGAATATATCAATAAATTAAATTCTACAATAACCATAGACAAATAACAGAATGCAAAGATCATGTGAGTGTTCGCTTTTTGACACCAGCTGACAGCTAGTGGTCGATACCATTTTATTTTACAGTGGTCGTAATTCTGATAAATAAACCAATAAAATGGCCTGCAAAATCTGTGGTCCTAAGCTGTCGCTATGCGGGCTTGTACTGAGCGTCTGGGGAATCATACAATTGGTGAGTGGAACTATATATTTGACAAAACTTGAGATTCTTGTAAGAGTGTACTAACGCACGCGAATGTTTCAGACTTTGATGGGCGTCTTCTATTATATCAGAGCAGTGGCTTTGTTAGAAGATCTCCCTCTTGAAGAGCACCACCACTCTATGGAAAGTTTCATCACCAACGTTGAGACTGGATACACTCAGGTTAGTCATCAGTTCTAATACGAATGTTTGTACCGATTTGATTGAAGTGGCTTACATGTACTTGGTACTCTGTAGTCATGATCTTTCCTTCTTCGCAGATTATCTTCAATGTAAAATTGTTATGGAATATAAATCTGTTGCTATTTCCTTGTGGATCTGTCTGCAATGTTACTTGATACTATTCAAGGCTAAAACCTAACATTGAAATGATTTTCACTATGATATTCTTATCTTTAATTGACGAATGCAATAAGATTATTGATAGCAATCTGAGCATATTATTACTGGATCCATTAGCCCAGTGATTTGAAACTGGACCTTATTTCTGTTAAGAGATTTAGCTCTTTTTTAGCTTCAATGCATATTTAGATACTAAATTACAAGCAGTCTTGTAAAAAAATGACCTGCATTACTTTAACCCGTTGAGATCCATCCCCTAAATTTGGTCATACAAAAGTAGTCTCTAAACATTACAAATAAGGTCTATAATGTAATGTAATATTAGTGGAAAGCGGTCACCGGTAACCGCTTAGGGATTTGTGGGTTAAACTACTCAAACAGAGAAGGAGAGATTTCAGATTTAATTTAAAACTAAGTATCGCTAGTTAGAACACAAACTAGTTCTTTTAACTTTATGACCTATGTTATTCAGACATGCAAGAGTAATCTTATTGTCCTTAATCTAAGCTAGAAATTGAATGAACCAACAAAATATGTACATAAAGTAATTTAATATTTTAAAATTTCAGAATGCCTACAACTGTTGGATCGCTGCTCTGCTATATGTCATCACACTTGTTGTATCCGGACATCAATTCTGGATGAACAACCGTTCTTCAGTTAGTATGTAAAAGTTGGTACAAAAGTGGTATTGTCATCTATGCTACTAGCGCGGGGGTATAAGTTGTTATGTTACTGTTGAATAACTCCATTCCATTAATAATTTATTTATATTAGCTCTTTGAGTCAGTTTCCAAAATGTTTATCGAGTCCTCTTCTATTTGTAACATTGCACTATTTGAAGAGGGCTTCACCCTAGCTTACTGGCCATGATTGGGAATCTGTGGTCAAAAGGTTCTTACCAGCCAATTACTCAATGTCACATTTGACCACAGATAAAATAGATATCATCCATGTGTTAAAGTTAGAACTATAGACATAAGTTAACAACACATGAAGGTTGTCATAAATTAGCATTTAATGAAAAAAAATTGTTTACATCCAAAGTAATTTATCAATGTTCTTAAAACATGACTCCATGTATAAATAAATTAATTCTATTTAAAGTATTTAAAAGAAAACCACATAGTATGATCAATGCTTTACCTTCCATGTCTGTTGTCCTGTATAAAACTATTAAGATTTACCCTATTGTTAATAGATGCTTTGGAAGTCTCGACAATGACAACAACAGACGCAGGACACTAAGTCGAAAGTTGGGTGAATAGGTTTTCAACTTTATAACAAAATCATAAGGTTGAAAATTTATTATAACACCTTGACCACTGAATTTGTCGTTATCAATGTCGAGACTACCCTGCATTGCTTATAATGTGAATGGTTAATAATTATTTAAGTATCAAGTGGTTCCAACATAAAATCAATGTATCAAATTGAGTAACAGAAATTATTGTGCATAAGTATTACAAATGAATGAATGCTATAAATTGTACATAATATATTCTATTATTGTAGGTACTACATTGCTTAGTTTTTCTTGAAGTAAAGGTATTGATGTTGAATGCTGTTTAATTTTAGCCTTTTATTTTTAGTTTTAATTCGCGTTTACTAAGAAGCCCGAGCTCTAGACCAGACATTTTAATTCATTCATAATGGAAGGTCGGAAAATATTGTGTTAAATAACGCAAATTAATTTAAAATTAAATTATCACAAATTGTGGGAAACTCAGTTCAATGGCAACTGGCAACCCGACATCATATCGACGAATAGTGATGGCACTCCATTGATTCCAAAGAGTATAATAAGTATAGGGGATTACTACTGACTACCCGCATTACTATGCGACGCTACTCGTATCGCCTGAACATGTTCAGAGAGGAGTAGGATTAGGCTACCTATTTTAATATCGAACTGATTTAATTCGAACTTGCCTACTACCTACTTAGATGATGATTTTTCCAATGCCAGATTGTGTTTTTCCATGTTATTTTTCCATACAAAACTGTCAGAAGTCTCAGATGCAAAGAGTATATAAGTATAAGGGAAGTCAGATGTCAATTTCATCTATGATTTTATGCAAGATTTTATAAATAAGAGTTGTCTTTTGATTTATGCTTTACTGACAAACCCAAAGAGTTTAGTAAATATAGGGGAAGACAAACCTTTTGCATGGCGCTGATGGGCACTGACAGACTGCTGACCAAGCTGCTGACTTCTACAAATGTCAACGAATACGTCAATGTATCAACTGCGAGTTGAATGGTTTTTTTTCTGATTACCTGTATAATAATAATATCATAATATCTTATTAGCCGCTTTTGCAATGAGTTATTTATTTAGCTGTGGAGTTTGTTGTGGCTTGCTCAGCATATGGGGATCGATACAGCTGGTAATCATTTTGCTTTTTATTAGGTTGTAGGTTACCAGACACGGTAGGAATAACTCGAATTAGCGGTGTATACTATAGGTATCTATTTCTACACTCAGGTGTATGTACGAAATTGAGAATATTCCACGGTTAGGTACCTACGATAGGTTTTTGTTGGGCGAGCAAGAGTAGCTCAGCGCCCGGTTGGGCGGCCTCTGGGTGACGCAGACCCAAGTGTACGGCGGGTTGCGTACGCGTGTGCCCCAAAAGGCCATCATGCTACCCCAGACGAGGCCCAGTATGGTACGGAGCCGCGGAAGACTTAACGGTAACGACTTCTGCTCCTCGGACCTCGAGGAGCAGAAGTGGGAACGAGGTGTTCTTTTGGTCAGTAAGTCTGACTCTCCCTCTCACCTGAAGGGGATAGCCAAGGCGGGAGAAGTCATTGGATGATTTTCCTCTCAAAAAAAAAAGTTAGTGCCTACCTACACAGTAGGTATCTACACAGGTCCCCCACAGTACTTTAAGGATTCAGTAATTAATTATGAACGCTATCTAGGTACATTGATTTCAGTCATAGATATAATAAATGAAGATATTTCTGTGGTTTCAGTTCTTCATGGGAATATGTTATCATTTCGAAGTGGTCACGCTCTTAGAAGATGTTGAAGAAGAAGAATATGAAGATTATGACGATTTTATTAGGAAAACTACAGCAAATTACAAAAAAGTTAGTTGTTAGTTAGTTTAATCTTTTTTACAGGTCGCAGACTAATAAAGTCGGAGGCCCAATCTACCCGGTCCATCCCGATCCCTAAAAGACCAGCAACGAACTTGTAATTGTAAGTTTGTAACTTCATTCGCGTTGCGTGTGTGCAAGGGCAGCGCCGTTAGTCATGCATGCTTAGGTACCATTAATAGGTGAAAGCAACAAAGATTAGCCAACTATTGATTTTGAATTACTGATTTTTAAGCTTGTAATTTGAATGTAGGTGGCGGTAAACTGTTGGGTTGCCTCAGTAATATACGTGATCCTCATCGGAGTGTCGTACTGGTGTATAAGAAAAGCCAAAAAATCTATGAAGATAGAAGCTTTGAAGTTAGAGGATGACGAGTACGTGTGTACTCCTAAACCGCCTCAGAGGAAGAAACCAAGCAAAGTTAAATAGTTTCATAACCTTTTTAGTATTTACTTAGTTAATAAAATATTTTAAGATTTCTATTTGGAGTATAATTTTTAATACATTTTGACGTCAAAACTAAGCACTATTAATCACTGTGGTGTTTTGAAAAACTGAACTGAAAATATTTTTTTTACATAGTAGCGTCTTCAACCAATAAAGCGTCTTCACACAGCGCAAGCGTTCCGTAAACGTATGCGCCGCGCAGACGTCGCGTAGGCGTCGCGTTGTCGCGGTGGTAGTGCAAGGGTTGACGATTACGCGTACGCGGCGAGCGCCATAGTGCGTCGCGTTACCTACTGCGGCACTTACGCCCCGCCTACCTACCGACTTGTACCTATTTATTGGGACTTTAATTAGAGAATGTTGAGTTGAGCTTAGGTGGGTACCTGTTTATTTTACCAATGTAGGTTTAAGTGACCCACTGCCTACCGTAGTCTAGTTGTTAAAGCAGGGTTGTTTTATGACAAGTTTTAAATTTGGTAGAACACATGTGTTAGATAAAATTGTAGCTCAAGCGTCAAGTGAAACAGTACTAGCCAGTAACCTCTATTATTTTATGTAAGCCGACTCTCATAAGTTAAAGGTTATAAAGAAAGGACTACTTATTGATAAGTTTTTATCCACCCCCATGGGTACAAAAATGTGAGTTAATGTAGCTATAGGTAGTTTCCCAATAGAGCTGATGCCGATATGGAGCCGCGCAGGACTTAACGGGTTGCCGGGGCTCCGGCTCGAAGTGCAGGACTAGGAACGGGGTAGTTTTAGTGAGTAAGAGTCTGACACTCCCACTTGCCTCACCCGGGCGGGAGAAGTGATTGGATGATTTGCCCCCCTCAAAAAAAGCTATAGGTATTTTTTATAATACTTAACAAAAAACAAAAAAATAGGTATAACAAAGCATAATTGGTTTATTTAAATGTTTCACTATTTTCTGATTGGTTGCTTTATTATCATTATCATTTCACTTCCTCTAACTTCCTGTCGAAAGTCACAGTGCCAATATTCACGCTTTTTATTTCTTCTTTGCTGACTTGCGCGTTTTCCTGAAAAATGATACCTTTTTAACGTAATGAACGTAATTACTATTCGTGTAGCTCTAATTAAAGGGACTTGGGCAGTAACCCGTTGTGGATGAGACCACGAGGGAAAAACGGTCGAACAAACAACGTTACTTATTACGTTCCAACTTAAATTGGTTTAATTAGCATGGTTGAGGATTGCAAGGTTTAGGGGCCTATTCTAGGTAAACTGAAACATCGGTAAATAAATTGAAATGTCGGCGTTTCGAGTTAATTTTTGCAAAAGCTATTCATTATTTTTATACTTCAAAGTTACTGAGCAATGCACTCACACAACTGCATAAACAATTCTTACTTAATCGTCTGATTCAATTTTGTTTTTTGTCGTCGTGCCTTCAGGAAAAGTTGTTGAAAATCCCATCAGGATCGAAAAAAAATAACACCAGAGCGAAGCCGGGTCACTAGTAGATAATGAAATTAAACAAGAATGGAGGTTTTGAAAGGAGTTTATTTCAATTATAATGTAGCACAGTTCAGAGAACATAATTTTGCTTTTTACTGGGGTTAACCGCAGTGCGTACCGACCCTAACAATAGGAATTTTCCACGGATCCGCCTGTGCATCGGAGAGGAACAAAGTTATCCACATATCTGGACCAAGAACGTTACAAAACCAAGGAAACATTTTTGGAAACCAGTACGGACACAAATCCGTTCATCAGACGAGCACAATTCTGGGACGGTAACAAAAATACTTACGATTTCATCTTGAAAGGAAGAAATTAGACGGGTTAAAGCAAAATCTTGCTCTGATGACCTTGATAAGAAATATTTATAAAATTTTTTTTCATCAAATGTTTTCAAATTTCACCTGTGCTGTATCCACCTCTTCGTCCTTAGCTGGTTGGTTCGGGTTGATCCACGTGTCTGCCAGGATCTGAGGTATCTTCACGCGCACTTTCAAAGGAGCCAATATTTTCGTGATTAGCTTGCGACAATCGGTTGATACTTTCGGCTCACGAGGGAATGATACTTTGTTTTGCACTTGCTGTGAATGTTGAAATAAGTTTTATATAATTACTATAATATATTCATGTAATTAGAGTATTGCAAAGCAATTCCGGGTTTCGTAGGACCGTCAATAAAACAATCGTGTATGATATAGACGAAAGATAAGACCACAAAAATAATAAAAGATAAAATTTCAAATATTCAAAGCGTCTTACTTTGAGCAACTGCGTATAATTCGTATCGTCAAAAGGCAGTCTTCCATACACTATAGCGTAAAGAACCACTCCCATACTCCAAATGTCTGAGTCCTGTGGCCTATAAGGAACTCCCTTCAAGATTTCTGGCGAAGCATAAGCATAACTTCCGCAGAAAGTCTCACTCAGAGCGTATACTCCATTCTTCGGCTTCATATGACCGCGAGCAAAACCAAAATCCGAAAGTTTAATGTTCAAACCATGGTCCATTAGCAAGTTTTCGCATTTTATGTCCCTGGAACAGAGAGATGATAGGATATCTTTACGAACATATAAAAAATGATGAGTGCCTATTCACATGTTTCATCTTTTGTTAATTATTTTGCACAGAGTTATTTATAACCTATTACTATATTGTTTTTTGGACATGCTAAACAAAATATTATCTAATCTTGGTGAGGCTATTAGCAGACTCGACTCAAGCTATCTCGCTCGGGTCACGGGATTGGGTAGTTTCCAGGGTATCAAAATTAAACATCTAATTAGTCCGTCAGATAGATAATGAAAAAATATTAGACATGTATTTTTTATTTTCTCGTATTAAGTTGCAATACTTAGATAAAATGGTGTTAAGTTTAGGAGTGGGAGGTCGTTACGTCATAACGTGCTACAAAATGTGACACGCTGTGACGTCACACGATATTTCAAATTAGTATATCGTCGAGAGTATTTAATTTTGTGAGAAAATAAAAAATACGTGTATAAAGTTTTAAATTAATGTACCAGATGGACATTAAAATAAAATTTAGGAAGCTACCCTATTTTAGATGAGCACTGGCATTTTGTGCCGTGTAGTAAACTATTTATTTTTGTTTATTATTTTTGTAACGGTGCAATTAACCTATTTTTCGTTATTTCTTTCTTCTTCATCAGACCTTTAAATTTTACGACGACCTATGCAAATAAGAAGAAAAACTAAAACTAAACTACAGGTGAAAGCTGGCATTTGAACAATCGTTCCCCTTTGTTCAGCTTTTTTTCGATTTTTTTCGGTTTCCGGCCGATGATGATGATAATGATTTCAACAATCTTTCTATTCCAGCTTACTATAGGAAAGTTAAGCTTTAAGAAGTAATATGCAAAATAAGTTCACCTATGTACAACTCCTCGTTCATGACAGTAATCAACCGCCTCCACGAGCTGTCGGAACCAGCGTCGACCTCGCACCTCATCGATATGTTGGTCCTTGCGTATTATATCTAGGAGACTGCCATTTTCGGCATATTCCATCACAATATAGACCCTGGAAGGCGAAGGGTATAATGAGCAGAAGCATAATTTGAGCTCATTCGCGCAAAAAAGGAATGTAGATTTTTTATGTCCGTAAGGATTGAGGAGCCACATCACATTTTTAAAATCTGATCTCGCCATTATTTAGCAGCAGTTTAGCTTATTTTGCAGCATGAATTCTAGATTTAGCAGCAAAATATATCACTAGTTATTTTAATGCAAACATGGCTCCTCAATCTAAACGTTTGAATTGAGGAGCCACCTAGAACTCGTTAAGTAATAGATGAATATTTATGAAAATTCGTAATGTGCAAAATTACTACTAAATGATACAAAATTTTCATAAATATTCATCTATTACTTAACGAGTTCTAGGTGGCTCCTCAATTCAAACGTTTAGATTGAGGAGCCATGTTTGCATTAAAATAACTAGTGATATATTTTGCTGCTAAATCTAGAATTCATGCTGCAAAATAAGCTAAACTGCTGCTAAATAATGGCGAGATCAGATTTTAAAAATGTGATGTGGCTCCTCAATCCTTACGGACATGATTTTTTAGCGGTTTATAACGCAACGCGAGACATCCTAAATAATGCAAGGTTGTAAGTTTATTTTCATTTGTAGGATAATCGAATCCAGAGTTTTCCATTGCTATTGCGTGTAATTCGAAATATAAAAGAGATGAAAACCCCAACAGCACTTTAGCCTTTTTTATTCCCGGAAACTTAGTTTGCAATTGACAATATTAATCTTGTGGTTTTCGTTTTCGTTTATTATAATTTTGTAATTTTATATTATAATTATATAACATTCTAATCCATTTACTAGATAAATAAATTAATGGAAGGCTGAGATCAGGTGATTAGTAGCTCTAACTGTTGAAACATCATCCCCTAAATTTGCATACAAAAGTAGTCTCTAAACATCAGAAATAAGGTTTATACCTATGAGTAGTTTCTATAGCTTGGAGAAATCGTATAAGGTTCTCATGTTTGAGACCTTTTACGACTTCTATTTCTCTTGGCAGAAACTTTTTCAGATAATCACCCGGTGCTTGGAACTTGCTAATTATTTTGATTGCCACTTGACAGTTATGTCGGTCGCTGGTTGCAACCTACAAGTAAATATTCAAAGTTAGCCTTTACTTCAAATAGTACTGCCAAAATACGGCGAAACTCAAAACTAGGAAATGTCAGACAGATGTAAAAGAGTTGATGCGAACTTGGAATCTAAATTACATAATTATCTTTAGCTCATAGAGGTCATGAAGATGCTATAGGTAGTTTGCAGCCTATTCCAATTCAGATTCCTCACAAAAAAAGAAAAACACATAGTTCTGTATTTCTGAAGTCTTTTCCATTTTTTATGTCTTTATAAAGTTTTTAACGAATGTTTCCGAGGCCAATTCGATTTGAGAAATAATCTGGTACCTTGACTGTGGCATAAGAACCAGACCCAATGGTTCGACCAAGGACGTATCCATGTGACTCAAGGACAGTAAGTTTTCTTTCAGTTTTCGCTTCTACGCCACTATGCACAGTCGCAGTGGGCTCTGTCGACATCTCGCCGAGGACATTTTCATTAGCTCTCACATCGGGTCCCGGCATATCACAGAAATGTTACTTATATATAAAATTGAAGTTTAGTAAAGTCACATGTTATATTGAATTTTGCCTCATTTTATTTTTCACATGAATTTTTTTTATATTATACATGCTGTCATTTTTGTCAAAACCGATGAATTTGCGGTGACACGAGAACGTTGTTTCAAACATCGCCCTTTCCACAGATTATTTTACGTCGCCAGTACGATTTGTTGCTAAAGAGTATTTAAGCCAAAGTAACCACAAATTTTTTTCTTTATCATATTTGTGTAAAGTGTGTAACTATTCCATGGTAAATGTATTATAGATAACATGATGTAACAAAAAGTTTTGTTTTATACCTTAAAAATAAACTCCAGTAAGCATAACGTATTAATATATTGTGTATCAATCATTAAAATGATGTGTTTGCTCAAATTATGCGGATATCGATGCATATAATTTAAATTATCGTTGATTGCTTCGTAGCTGTATCGTAGAAATGTTTTTTTTGTCAGATGAAAAGCAACAGAGCAATTGTAGAGTTCTCTAGTTATAACACTGTCGGTCCATCAGTGTTCTGGACAAAGAAAACAATTGCTGGGATTGGAACGTTGGCACTGACTGGTCGAGCGTATCGTGTTGCGTGCGTTCCATTCCACCTACCTTTCCACACCAACCATCTTGGAACCTCAACTCTATTCAAAACCACCTCTATAAGCCAACGTCGTTGAAATCTCGAGTGTCAACTTATAATGGTCAGTTGAAATATTTCATTCGATGACCCATTTTCGTACATCCACGTTTTCGGTTTATTTTCATTCATAAAGCTTTTTTCAGTAGATATTCTTCTGTCCCCGTCTTTTGTTACCTTAATTGCGTATTCTGTTTGGCTTGCGTATTGTTGTCTGAATAAACCATTGTTACTTATTGACCTAAGGAGAACGAAAATAGCTACTTTTTAGTAGGTTTCAATGGTAATATTTGGTCATTGAACCTTACGTAACGACGGTTGAAAGGCAAATTGATCTAAGCGACATTATTTTGCGAAATTGAGTTAAATATATATTCGAAATTAGTGAATTATCCTTCGTCATGATGTATTTTTTTATTTATTTATTTTATTTATCTTTATAGGTATTTAACCCCCTGCAACTGACGTGGTTAAATTGTTACAATTCAACTGAGGTGTATATTATACCAGACACCATTTCAACAGCAAATATTTTTGTAGAATTAAAGTATAGCGAGCACTATACAGTAAGGTACTCGCAGCAGTGATGCTCGTATTTGAAAAATGACAGTATAACACGTGATTTTGTATTTCGCGGTGTCTGTGGGACTACACGTCAGCCGCAGACGATTACAATATCACAAAAAAATGTCGCTTAGATCAATTAGCCTTTCAACCGTCGGTTAGCATTCTTATGTGGTAAGCACACAAGAGATGTTATTTCTGCTAAGTTATAAGCAGTTAAAAATGTTGTATCATAATATCTTTCTATTATGCTCGTAAAGCTCATAGCAAATTCTTTAAAAACTTGAAATTTGTTCGCAAACAAGATAAAAGGTAACGAGACGGCTTCCCCACGTCTCCGCGAGGCGTCACATCAAACAATTAAGAGTTATCTCGGGAGTTAGGAGAGCGACACGATATATCGCAGACTTGATTACTTTTTCTACTCGGCGAACTAATAAAAGTTGACCAGCAGACCGGGAACTAACAAGTCTCGTTTTTAATTGAAACGCTTCAGTTTCATAGATAATATAATGATGAATGGTTTCAACTACCTATTCATTTTGTATATTTGTATTTAAACGCACTGTGAGTTTAAAATGAATCACAGTAATTTGAACAGCTAATGAAGTGTTTATCAATCAGCAATGATGTAACTAAAAGGTCATCAGTTCAAACTGAGAGGTTCGCGTGAAAAAAATGTTGAAAACCAGTCTACGTTTCCTTGGTCAGTAATTAAAAACCCATTAAATTAGCTGGAAAAGGCGAAAATAACCGCACAGAATAAAAGGTTAAAAATATCGTGGAGCGTTCTCCCTTCGATCTTAGACGTCAATAATGGACTGGGAAGCAAAAAGTTTAGCTCCGGGCAAGTTATCAATTGTATCTACCGAGTTGGAGCGGAGTTTTTCATTCATTTATTGCACGCAGAGCGCAAGGAAATGCTTAATGGTTATTCTCTTGGTCGCATTTGATATAAAAGCTGAACTTTGTCGCTATCAGAGAATCTTTTGTGGCTTTTTATTTGTTCTATAAAGTGCAATTTTTGCTAAGTTTGAAGTCTGAGACGTTGTAAATGGATTTGTGGAGTAATTCAAATGGAAATGTCTTTTGTCTGTTACAAATGGATCAACATTCAATTTATTTGTAGACAGATATAGTACCTAAGAAATATACGTACGATTCTGTTTAACATTAATGTACGTAGGTACCTAACTACCTACTCTATTTTTATAATGCTTAATCTAATTTATAATTCTAAGTATATACTTTATGTTATTGAGATCAAGTATATAGTCTTATACACCTTTATAGTCTTCTTCATTCTTCTTCACTTTTAAAGCTTCTTTTAATAATACCTACCTGTAATATAATATGTAGACTTATAAATATCTGCGCTAGGATTTGTCTTAATTACGTCAGTTTGTGCTGACGTCGCAAAGTGAACAATTAAATCCATTGTTATTAAAGTTGAGACGCATTCGTGCTGGATGCAGGCGGGAGACAGTGGGGCCGGCCCGGAACTCTACAGCGCCTTTGTTTCTATAAACGGTCCTCTACAAGCGTCCGTCGCAACGCAACTCACACAGTTAGTTTTACGAGTTTTCACCTGTTGGAGGTCGGTCAGCGAAACTATCTTGTTTACTTTCGACAGTTATTACGGCCTCAGTAAAGTTATATAGTAGTAAACTCTCAAAATAAAGGCACATTGTCCCAGAATTTAGAAAGCAATACGAATTATTTTTGATTTCCCAAGCTCCTAATATTCGCCTCTTTAAACAACAAGTACATTCTCGAAATAACTAAGGCATCATCGTTTGCGAAGAATATTTCAAATAGCTGCTTTGCCACGTACGTACGTTTGAATTACGAGAAAAAATATTTTCAGATTTCGCCGCGCGACATGAACTCGAAACGGTGATGTAAATGTGAATAATGAAAATAACTGGGGTTGTATTACATTCCTTTTTAAACACGGGACAGGTAAACAGGCAAGGGCAGTAACACCTCTCGTCCCTTTTGTTATTTGCAGAATTTTAATAGAAAGGTCGCCGTCATGAGCCGGCGCGGCAGCGGCCTAGAAAGCATTCGTTCATTTGTTTTGTCAGTCGAAACCAACCTATTCGTCCCTCTAGGTACAATGTTACCAGAATCACAGCAGTATAATGATCGTTAAACCGACAATATGCGGGTTCACATTACATGTGCTGTCACAATTACAGTGAAAATGTTCGTTATTACAAAATTGACGGCTTATCCGGATTACTCGGTTCGTAAATTAAAGTTATTGCATTTCCGTTGAAGTTACGTGCGATAGTTTAGGGATGTTCAATTTACTGTGGGACAGATAAAATATTTTTACGTAACACAAATTTATAATAATTTATTACAATAGGAATTGACGTGGTAAGAAAATTGATACAAATATGTAAAGTTATAATTTATAACACCTGTTTTTTACAAAAGACCATTTATCGTATATTATTATGTCGTCGTCGTAATAGTCGTAAGATGCTATTACCAAAGGCCTTGTAATTAAATGGCACCTGAAAACTCGCAACCAATCATACCAAGGGAACACTTTTAACATTTAAAACAGATGATAAATAATAATTATCATTAATTATTACCATAACTTACATAGATCGTGAATAAATTAAGCAGATACATTTATTATTTTATTACCTTTCAGTAGCAGTACCTGCAATCACTAACAAGTAATAATAAGCATCGGATATAATTACACGATGATTGTAATCGATCATGTTTTTATACAGGTTGATATTTTATCAGTTAACTAATTAACCAAGCTTCGATTTTTAGCTTCGATGTACAGCTAACCTATTTAATTGCTATGCAGGCAAGAAAATAAAGATTTACTTCTTTGCTATCGCCGAACAGTTTTAGTTACAGTAAAATAAAAATAAATTATATTATGTAGCGTATGTATCATAGAATTATCTTAGTTGCTACGAATTTCAGTTCGTAGCACGGCGTTGTTGATTTCGTAGCTCCTTCGTAGACCGCTACGAAAATGCTACACATTGTTGACGTCACCGGTCATTTGCAATATTATTATTATATTTTTATTTAACGTTTCAAAGATTTTACTAACTCTATTGTAATATACAGTAATACATAACATTAACATTACAATCCGGACTAATCGAAACACAGACATTTCGGCCATCACGCTTACGGCCACTCGACCTAATTAGCCAGTAATAAAATAAGTATGTGTAAATATTTTACACATAAATTATCTGTAAAAGTATTTGATTCAATGAGTGTATTTACTTTTCTGGGAATAATTAAAACTATTCCCACGTCTATTACTGCACGGTATAACGGTACCATTTAGAGAAATAGTAAATACAGCAAACATCCATTTGCGCTTAGCGTGGTCAGACTAGAATCAACATACACTGCATACAGGCTGATGTTTTTATTTACAAACCATTACAAGCTTTTATGGAAATACGCTTTTTAATGCACACTCTTTTTTAATTAATTGAATTATTTATCATTTATGCATCTACCATAATAACATTTAGTTAAATATTTTTGTACTTTTATTAAGCTTTCTATTAAGAATGGTAATTTAGGTAAAGGAATTTTAATATTCATAGTTTTAGTGTTAATTTACAGTATTGTCAAACATTGACGTTTCAAAAAAAAAGTGAAACATTCTGTATACTGTCAGTTGTCAAAACAAACAAAACTAGAGTAGTAAAGGTTACAATCTATCTCCATTTATTATTGGGCCGTAATATTTCTGTATAAATTAGTGGCTCGCTTCCGCCAATATTGCAACACAGCTAATTGTCTGTGACCGTTTTAATTAGTTTCTGTCAGACATTTAAATGGTAATGACCAAATGTATGAAACGTTGGCTTACCTGCAATGTACGTATATTT